GTATGCTGCGGATGTTGTAAACACATGGGGGAAAAAGTAACCCCTGGAAAGTGTTTTGGCTTGAGTTTGATTTGCCACCTCTCAGCTTCTTGCTTGTGCTATGTGTGCATAAGTACCTGCTCTTAACACGTAGAGGAATTTGTTTAGAAAGGTTATTCTGTAATGGGCAGTGGAGAAAGGGCAAGCAGCTCTGCTGTGTTTCTGCGTACTGTGGCAGGAATACATACCCTGAAGGAAAGCTTTCGGACTTCATTACTCAGTTCGCAAGTAGGGTAGCCCATAAGTGACCTTGGCTTAATGTTGCGTTTCAGGACTTGTCATATAACTGCTGTCTATGTGTCTAAAAGCACGGTTTGGTGCAATTTGTTTTAATGTACCAATTTTCATGATTTTAAGGCTCCAATGCAAAAGAAATAGGGCCATTCTAGGAGTTACAGCTGGGTATGTTTTCTCACTGTCCCTGCTGTCACGCTTGGGTCTCGGGAAGAGCTGTTACACTCAGCTGCTGTTGTAATAAGGTTTCTTGTCTTTCCCAAAAAACACTGCTCGATGGGCTGAGACTTGTGGGCATGTTTTTCCATAGATTTTTGTTCCATTTAAGGAAAAAATCTAGTCCAATTATGTTGCTGGAATCTTTTGTCAAGTTGCTACACTTGTTTACTGTTCAGTTAAAGTGTTTGATAAGCAGAATGTAGCTGAGTGTGGTGTATATTGAGCATTAACTCATCTGTCAAAAATGTAATCCACTGCTGATCAGCACAGAAAACACGGTGTTCGCTAGCAAAGTCGTTTAACAAGCAGATACTGATACAAAGGCTTATCTGCTGCTGACGCCTTAGAAGGGCTAATCCTTGGTGGATCATACGAGGCTAGCTTTGTGATTAATTGGTGAACACTGTGGCTGAAGTGATGGTATTCGAAGGCTCAGAGGAAGGGGTCTCTCCGTTTCTGGCCATCGTTGTGTTTTACGTAGCTTGGGGCAGCCTCGTTTCTGTGTAGGCTACTGCACGCTGTGGTGCTGTGGGAAATGGTAGAGGGCTGGAGATCTGAGTGCATGGTTGGAAAGGCTTATACCTTAGAGGAATGTATAAATACGATGGGGTGTTTAGTGCTAAACTGATTAGGAGTACTGTGGCCAGTGTGTATCTTGGAGGGAGTTGCGTTTTGTTTGTTTTCAAACTGCTCTTTCAGCTAGCAGGCAGCACGTTGACAGGTGCGTCTAGTCAGCTGTTGCACAGTTCAGATGGGGCAGAACTGTAGTAATACAGGTAAACTTTATGGCTTCCTGGATTTTCATGGTGGTTTAACTGCTTTTTCAGGAGTACAGGTCTTCTTCCTAACATACTAAATACTCAGTATTTTTTAGTATTAGTATTTTTTTAAAAAGTGTTCAGATATGCTAAGTAGCATTCTCATGCTGTGCCTGTGAATAATTCTGCAATGTTATGTTGTTAGACTGCCATAAAGAAGAATAACCCCAGGAAGTACCTCCGCAGTGTAGGAGATGGAGAGACCGTGGAGTTTGATGTGGTTGAAGGAGAAAAGGTAAACACGTCTCTGGGATGTGAGAGCATGCTGGGAAAGCTTGGTCTGCCAGCTTTGGGGTGGTGCCTGTGGTTTGAGTCTACGCCTGATGACATCCCAGGAGATGAACAGCTTCTCCTTGCTTTACAGTGTGGATGCATATCGCTGCTTGGTGCTGACTTACATGACGCTATAACTGATGTGATGCTGACTGTTTCCATAACGCTGTCCCTGCTCTTTAGGGTGCGGAGGCAGCTAATGTTACAGGCCCTGGTGGAGTTCCAGTGCAAGGCAGCAAATACGCAGCAGACCGTAACCATTACAGACGATATCCACGTCGTAGGGGTCCTCCACGCAACTACCAGCAAAACTACCAGAATAGTGAGAGTGGGGAGAAGAACGAAGGGGCAGAGAACATACCAGAAGGTCAAGCCCAGCAACGCCGTCCCTATCGCAGGCGGCGGTACCCACCTTACTATATGCGTAGGCCCTACGGGCGTCGACCACAGTATTCCAACCCTCCTGTTCAGGGAGAGATAGTGGAGGTAACGTTTGCTTCGAGCGTGATGCTGGGCTAGCTTGGTTGCGCGGGAGCAGGGTGGTGGGACACGGCTTTTTGTAGGTACTTGAGATGCTCAAGGTTGGGCGGTAAACTGGAACTTTGGAGGAGATGATAAGCATAAAGTCCTAATGTTACGGCGTTTAGAGTGCGTTTGAATCTGTGTTGGCTTCCAATGTGATTAAGTGGAAGAAACACAGGTTCCAGCAGCACATCCTCCTTTGTGCCCGCCTGTTGTGCGCTTCGGGCTTGGCCTGCAGGCCCCTTGCAGCCAGCTTCCTCCTGGCTGGACTAGCTGTGTGGCTAAGATGGTTTGTGGCCTCATGTCTTGCAGGGTGCTGACAACCAGGGTGCAGGAGACCAAGGCAGACCAGTCAGGCAGAACATGTACCGAGGTTATCGACCACGGTTTCGCAGGTATGCTGCACATGGAGTACGAGCTGGGTTCCTAACCTTGCTGTTTAGCAGCACAGGCAGAACATGGCGATGGTTGGACGCTGCATTATTAAAGCCTAGCTTGACTTTCAGGGGTCCTCCTCGTCAGAGACAGCCTAGAGAGGATGGGAATGAAGAAGATAAAGAGAACCAAGGGGATGAGACCCAAAGTCAGCAGCCACCTCAACGTCGGTACCGTCGTAACTTCAACTACCGACGCAGACGCCCAGAGAACCCTAAACCACAAGATGGCAAAGAGACGAAGACAGCCGAACCACCAGCTGAGAACACGTCCGCTCCCGAGGCCGAGCAGGGCGGGGCTGAGTAAATACCGGCTTACCATCTCTACCATCATCCGGGTGCGTGTCCAGAGGTTCTTGAGGATACAGTCTGATTACTGACTTATTTATTTTGATGCTTTCCTTTAATTTTTGCCTTACAAGGGTTGAACTATTCTTTCTCCTGTGTGTTATAACCAAACTGGCTGCATTTCTGAGCACGCTCACTAATGTCTGCAAAACCAAGCAGTGAGACTTTGCTGTGCCAAGGCTGATGACCTGGGAGGGCTCCGTTACTAAGCTTTAATTTTCATTGGTGGAGTCACTGCCTGGAATACTGTTAGTCTTCAGATCTTGGCTGTGCTCAGTATTTCAGGCTCACGGCAGTCTTTGTCCACACAGAAATAGTAGTTCAAGTGGTGCTTGAAAGTAGCTGGGGGAAACAGGTACGGGGATCTGCTCGGCTCTGTAAGCGTCCGGGCAGTTACGCTGGGTCTCCGGGGGGAAGCGGATAGCACAAAGTCCTCTAGGCATTGCTTTCCAGAAAGCTGGCGCTGGACTTGCAGAAGCCTCCATCTGAACAAAGTGGTGCTGGAAAAGCTGGTAGAGACGCTCCTTTCCGTGGAGCGCCCGGGGTGCCTGTGGCCGCAGTGCTGCGGTGACTCGCTGCCTGGGAGGGTTGCGTAGAGGTCGATGTTGGAGCATTGTTTTCATTGCAAGGTGGACTGGCTGTGATGTGGCACTGTCTGCTTTTGCCAGTTTGGGAATATTTTTGTTGCTAGGACTTGTTCTGGGGGTTTTTGGGCACCTTATTAGTTCCTCTCTCTCTCTGTGCTCCCTCTCTCTCCAGCGCTCCTATCCCATTCCTGTTGCCTCCCACCGTTGCCTGGAGGGCCAGCAAACAGTGGTCTCTGGTGGGAGCAGCAGCAAACTGCCACTGGAATGGGATGAGCGGGGAGTGTGGGAGGTGGGCATGGGCAATAGGCTGCCAGCCCTGAGAGCTTGGGGTGCTGCCACCCTTGTCGTGCAGGTGGATGACTTGACCCTCTTCAGGCCTTGCTGCTGTGTTTTCTGCGCGCTTGATGTGAACCTTTGGTTTATCCCAGCGTTCACCTTGAGGGTTAACACCACCTGGATGAATTCTTAGTGTCGTGGGTTTCAGGGAAACACCGAGATGACACTTGGTCACTCTCTGTTGATGGAGAGTGTGAATTGTGGCGTCTGGTCTGCGTGTGGCGTGTGGAGGCCGTGCTGTTGGGTGCAGGTGGTCTGCTCTTCAGCTGTCTTGTGGGGGCCTTAGGTTGCCCCCGTCCCTTCCTGGGGGATGGTGGGTTGTTCACCGGCTGCGTTTTCAGACCCACAGTGCAGAGCTGTGCGGGTCTGCAGGGCCCGGGGTGAGCAGCCGTTGCGAAAGGGGCTGAAGCGGGAGGCCGGCGCGGGGAGAGGGTTCATCCCTCCGTGTTTAAATTCAGGGTCTGTTCTCTGGAGCCTTTGGCGTTTGGTTTGCTTGGGAAAAAGCGGGTTTGGGCACTGAAAGGGGGCTGCTGGTGGGAGTCTGGTGAACCAAACGCACCCGTGTAAGCCTTTGACACCTGTCTGATCTTTTCTTTTTCAGTTTAGTCATCAAAGAAAAGACTTAAGAAATGAAGAAGAAAAGAAAATGAAATTCCAGCAATAAGAAATGAACAAAAGAATTGGAACTGAAGACCTTAAGTGCTTGCTTTTTGCTGTTGACCAGATTACTAGAACTGTCTGCATTATCTATGCAGCATGGGGTTTTTATTATTTTTACCTAAAGAAGTCTCCTTTTGGAAACTATAAACAAGTTTTTTAAAAGCCTGTTTTTTCTCAATATACCTTTAAAGGTTTTTAAATTGTTTCATATCTGGTCAAGTTGAGATTTTTAAGAACCTCATTTTTAATTTGTACGAACTACACACCTGATTTTTTCAAGTCAAACTGCAAGCATCTGTTAATAAAGGTCTTAAAGAATTACCCTGTGTGCTGGGTCGATTTAAGCCCGCTTTGGGATGAAAGGCTGTAAGTGTTCATAAAGGGGTTGGGAAGACGTGACTGCTTGATTTCCTCAGCAGACAGGCAGCCGGGGCAAAGTGCAAAAACATCAACCCCAACCTGAAATAAAAACGTAGGCGACAGCACTCGAGGGCAGGCTGTCAGCTCCGCATTGGTTCTGCCACGTAGCTTTAGTCACTGGGTTTCTTCACTGTTCAGGTTCCCGAGGAAACGTTACTAGCCTCTCCGAAAACCGTAGTGATGTAATAAATGAGTCTAGGCAAATAACGCCGACGGGTTCGCTCCCGCGCAGCGGGCTGCAGCGCTCGGCCAGCAGCGTTTCTGCGCACCGCCCAGAGCGGGGAGTTCGCTCTGCTGCCTTTCAGCTCTGCGATCAGAAGCGCTGTCCCCGTTGTCCCTGGGCATAGAGGGCCGGGGGAGGACCCTTGTGACTCCTCGTGCGGGTGTTTCGCAGCTGCCTGGGCTACGAGTGTGGCTCCTGGGCACCTTTCCCACGGGCATCCGGTGCTGTGGCAGCGGCTGGCCTGCTCCTGGGGCTGCAGAGCGCCTCGCCTGCCGCCCCTTGGGCGAGGAGTGAGGGAGACGGCAGCAGCTGTGGGTGGGGGTGGCGGGGTTGGGTTTTGTGATGGCTTGTAAGTGAAGATGGATAATAACAACAATCATTAGTAATAATTTTTCACTAGGAAAACAGAATTCCCATTTTGTGTGGACTTAAACCCCGGCGCTGCCAGCACAGCACCTGTTGGGCGTCAGACTGACTCCCCTTGGGCCTGAGGCGGATGGCTGCACCGCCGCCAGCCCCGGGAGAGCAGAGCCTGCTCCAGGTTACCCTCAGCCACCCCTGAAATGCCAGCACGGGGTGGCTCCCAGCCGGCTGGGCAGGGCCACCGGCCACGTGCAGCCAGCGTTGCTTTGCGGAAGAGCCTTCCTGCTAAATTTGGAGGAGCTCCTTTGCCCTCAGCTTCCACAAGGGACATCTTTTTCCTAAAGCAACACTCTTCTGGGGTTTATTTTCATGAAACCCGGCTGATAGTGGGGAAGAAAACCCGCCCTTTGTGGGTGACTGCTGCAGCCAGCGGTGGTACAGCTTAAAGCGACGGCGGAGATGCCCCAGCGTGGGCAGCGCTGCTTCAGTGGGGTCAGGCCGGGGGGACGCAGCAGGTCGGCGGCGGGAGGTGCCGCCCGTCACACGTGGGAGTCCATGGCGTACATCTTGCTGGTGGCTGTTCGCCCCGGGGGGGGGGGAAGGCTCCGAGGCTGCCCGCCGCGGGC